CTCTGTTTAGTGAAAGTTTTATTGTGTTAATGTCAAATGATTCTTCAATTTTTCTTGTCTTCTAAAATTTGTCTGTATCACTAGCTTTTGAGGTATACACAAGTGGAGGTAATACATGCCTAAAAGTTTCTTAGAGCACATTTTGCCTCAGGTGTGGGGTATACAAAGTGGTGGGTTATTTACGTGAAAATGGCACAAAGTTAAGAAAAAAATTCCACTGGACAGGTGGTCAGGCAGAAAAATATATTTACTGGACCCCACTTTTTTCTGTGATTATTCATGTTTTAATTTGTTTGTAAGAAGCATATTGGGTGATTTAAATTTATTATATGATATAATTTAACAAGCTAATCACTTATTTATAACACAAAAGTCTTTATGTTCTATAAAACAATAAACTCAAAAATCAAAATGAAGTTAATAGTCATCATAACGAAAATTATCTGAGATTAGCTTTCTCACTTTCACCTTTTTGTTTTCAACTTTGTGAGAAGTATATAACTGTGTGACTTATAAACTATTCATAGAATTAACAAAGAAATCAATAAACTCAAGTAATTATCAGATTTTATTATCAAAAGGTAACAATCGTCATAATTAAAATTATTTGAAACTGGCTTCTTTGATTTGAGCTTCTGTTGTATCATCAGCTACCTCACTTTCTGCTGTTGTATCATCAGTCTCATTCTCTGTATCATCTAAGTCACACTCCTCTTCTAGAGCAATTAATGCTTCATCTTTAAAGTTACATACATCTGCCTTTTGTTTTTCTTTCATGGTCCATATGGAGCTGTTGAAGGCTGCTTTGATCTGGTGTCAGATGATCTCAATAGGTGGAAGGCTGGTTCAGGATCATACTCTTTTACACTTGTATTATATAACCTTACCCTCATAAGGTCTGATACAGTCTCTGGTTGAAGCCCATTCTGCAAATCTGTATGCACTAGTTTATATAAACTGAATCCATGCTTTACTTCAGCACTGTGTGCTTGCAGACTAAGTATAAGATCAATGAGTGTAAAAAAGTTATAATGTCCACCTCACCACCACATTTCCTGACAAACTGCTATATTGTCAACCCCTTGATTTGTACTTTTTGTGTCACAGACCGAATAACAAATGTCTTTATGGTGGTCCATTCATTCATAACTGCATCTGGACTGAACAATGTGCACAGATTGAGTGGTTCTTGAAATTGATCTAAGAGCACCTGGATCTCAGTATCACCAAACTTTTCCAAGAGCTCTTTGTTGTTCAATGGCCATGTATTGATATTGCACACTGAAAGTGCCGAGATATGTGGGCCATTCAGGTTTCCAAACCTTTATCAAGATGAAAAATTAAGGCACTTAGCATCTTCTCCCTATCTTTACCAAAACTAGTTGAATCATTCTGCAACTCTGTGATACCAAGGTGAAATGTGAAGTCCTCTTGGTTGCTGTTCTTGAGTAAGCCACGAAGGGCTGTTCCATTGCATGTCCTATATCTTTGCAACACTTATAGAGTTGCATTTAGGGCCTCTGAAACATCATTTAGGATACAATCCTGCATCTGCACTATTTCAGAAAATTCTCTTAAGGATGGTGTGATGTCTGGCATTAGATGAAGATAGAGAACCATCTTTCTTGATCTTAGATGTTTAAGAAAACTTGCTTTACCTTTGGAGGCAGCAGATGCACTCTGATCATTGGAGACAGCATTCAAATGTGCAATCAATGCTGGGTATACCTTGAGTATGTTTTCTATACCTATATTTGCATGTTGTACCCAACATGTGCCTCCTACTTGTGTAGGGAGCCTTTTCTTGGTGTTTTACACCTTTCTTAATTTGATCAGCCCAGCCCTGGCTACTGATGAATTGTGATAGTACAAGTAAATGCTCATAAGGAACTCATCTAAAAATTTTTGTTGCTTCAATTCTTTGGTTGCATCCTTGATAGCCAATTCTACTTTATGAGCTATGCAATGTACTGGGATGATCGAACTTGTTTTTTGTTTCAATTTTGTTGCAATGCCTGCCTGGGCCCCAAAGTTGACTGCAGCCCCATCCACACCAAAACCAACAACATGTTTGTAAAATGTTCCTCTGCAATGTTCAGTTCTTTTAGCACTTATAACATTGCTGTTAGAATACTTGCAGAATTTGGAAGGTCTACAACTCTAATCACCCCTTGTTTTGCAGCATGGATGTAAATTAGTTCTACTTCCCTCACAGCAGTATTTGTAGAACCATCACACATGGTGCTATAAAAGTGTGCACCATTGAGCCATTCAAATCACTTCAGTCTTTGCAGTCTCTGCAATGTACTTAGTGAAACAACGCATTGATGGTCGTTGATGTAAGTTGTGCCAATATCTACACCATTTTTAGTTTGGAGTTCCATTAGCCATACATAATCTTTAAAAGGAAGGTTATTTAATGCATGAGCTGAACTAATTATTGAAGAATCCTTCCTTTTTCAGCAGCTGTTATTGAGTCAAGAGCCTTTTTGGCCTTACTTCAGCCTGGTTTTGCCTTTGCTGCATCCTGTATCCTTTGGCATTTCACATGGTGCTTTGATTTAGCATGATCATGGAAAGCAGAGGTCTTCAAATTGGAATTGGTCCCATTGAAGAAAGGTGATTTTTTGTCTGCATTGTCTGGCATACTTCTGCAGGCTTTGCAATACAGCTTCCCTGTCATCATCTTCAACTTCAATCCAAGGGAATTCATTTCCAGCCAGTTCTCAAAGGTAACGTTAGCAAACATGTATGCTAAAAAACCTGTGAAAGTAAGCCTAACAGAAAAAAATGTTAGCTTTTATTTTTGAAGTTTTAAATATATAGGGGCGTATAATGCCAAATGGTTAATGCAATTGTTCAAACTACTAATATTTTAAAAACTGTAACTTAATTTTCTGTGTGATCAAGTTTGACTAATAATTTAATGTTTGCAATCTAACATTAGAATATGGATCATTAGATGGGATTTGTGTATGGATAGGTCTATACTTGGAAAGCCATCTTTGGACGTTGATTCTTTTCATAATCTTTGTAATCTTGATTAAATGTGACTTTACATTTGTCAGTTGTTGGATCCTTCAGAAAACATGTTAACTTTGTCTGCCTTGACATAACTGCCATAGCTGTCAGTTGTTATTTGCATGCAGCAGATCATTGGTGGCAAAGTTACATTGTGAAAGTGTGTCTGACATAACTGCCGTAGCTGTCAGTCGTTATTCGCATGCAGCAGATCATTGGTGGCAAAGTTACATTGTGAAAGTGTGTCTGACATAACTGCCGTAGCTGTCAGTCGTTATTCGCATGCAGCAGATCATTGGTGGCAAAGTTACATTGTGAAAGTGTGTCTGACATAACTGCCGTAGCTGTCAGTCGTTATTCGCATGCAGCAGATCATTGGTGGCAAAGTTACATTGTGAAAGTGTGTCTGACTACCAAAATGACAGTATAAACAATCATATGATTGATGACCTAATTTATTCTTTGAATATAAGATTTACTGAATTACAAAAATGAAAGCAAATTATTTTCTGGTATCTAATAACCAATTATATTTCATATTGGCAAATCGTGTATTTTATTTTCTGTGGAAAAATAGCTTGAATCATGTCAAGAGTGATTCGTTCCTAGCTAATTGATTGTGTATTTTGGCTTAACGACAGAAATAATCGATCATTTATGAGTGTTGACGTATTTTATTCTCTGAATATATATATTTCTTTAATCATAAAAAACTTAAGCAGATTATTTATTGTCATTTAATTACTCATTATATTTCATGCTGACGATTTATATATTTTATTCTCAGTGGAAAAATAGCTTGAATTAATGTTAAGAGTGATCCGTTCCTAGGTGATTTATCATGTATTTGAGCTTGGCCCTGAAAGTGAAGGCCAGGATAATTTCTGGAAGCATGTGAGATGCTGAATCAGTATCACTTAGGCCTATTTACTTTCAATAAAACATATTTGTTGTAGAAATGCCACTGTGTGGCACGGGTAGTAAATTGGTTTAAGTTAATTAAGTTATAAAGTGTTGTGAAAATTTCTTTGAAAATTGAGGCCATGGTGGTCCAGTGCTAATTTTGTGCCCTGGAAAATATGATTGTCCATAAAAGTTGGAGGTGAGACAACCTGGAAAAATACCCTTAACATATAAAAACATTTTGTTAATTCTCAACACCAAATTCTCAAGTATTAATTTAATAAATAGTTTATATTTGTATTTCAGGTATTTATCTTTATGACTGTGATGCATACTCAAAATCTTTGATTGGAGTCACTGAGTATCTAAAGTATATAGCATCTAACTAAACCCAAACTCACAAAACATAATGAGGCTTGTTTATGTTTATTAGCAGTACTTCATGTCTTTGTCACTAAAACAAGTTGAATACCTTTAATTTTTTTCTAAAATCAATCTTAATTACAGATATGGCATATCATAAATGGAATTAGTAAACTGTTAGAAGCTTTTTTCTTCACTAGTGTTTAGCAAAAACTGTAGATGTAACTTTCACTAGAGTTATAAAGTGTTCTGTTACCCTTTCTTATTTTTTCCTTTTAAATACAACAGGTTTTTCATGACAGACAGTCAAATAATAATTCTTATACTGATTAGTAATTCTTAACGTTGGATCACACATCATTTCATATTTTAACTTCCTTGTATTTGTGTTATTAATAGTTGTATATATTTTCATTCAAATGCTTACATTATACATTTCTATGTTTTTTTGTTTTAACTAATTCCCCTGAAAGGAAGGAGTAAATCTCCTTGACTCTAGTACATCAATTCACTGACACAAATCATCCACTCTATAATGCAATATTGCAAACACAAACCCTCTTTTGAAAATTGTTGGAGCTTACATGTTATATGCTTTTCAACATGGATTAATTCTGAAGAAAGTGTAATTTTCTAATTGTGAAATTGTTTTCATGAACAAAACCTTAGCAATACTTTGTGGAAAAATAGTTATTATTGTTTTTATTTTTCAGGAAGATATGATTACAGCCACAACAAAAGTTCATCAAGTTATTGTATCTAATAGCAGTCTTACTCCTCTTGGCCAAGTCAGTATTTCAAATTTGTTCTTAAATCTTTAAATAAAAATAAGTTATTTTCTTTTATAGTTGATAGGATTTTAAAATTGTTGCAAGGGAAAGGAATGATTTGAATGAATGGATGGGGTTTTCATTAAAACATTACAAAAAATAAGTAGTAGCTTACTGTATAAAAATTTCTAATTATGTCACCAGCATAACATCTACACTTATATTCTCTAACTCTTCTTAGATGATATATTACTTTTAAGTGCATGAAAAAAAAATCATGTTGTTAAAGAGCATTTACTTCTGTATGTGTGTAGTTATATATCCTTAGTGCATAAATGATTGAAGGTTTATCTATAAACAAAGTTACTCAGAACGTCATAAAATATGATGTTTAGAAGTTAAAAGGTGCAATAACTTTAATTTTTTCTAGATATTTTTATTATTTTTAATTTTGGTTTAAAAAATTTACAGTGATGATTGAATCAAATGGAAAAAGAAGTATATTCAAAATAAAACTTCACTATTTCTTGTTCATGGCACCATAATGTAACTTAGTAACTTAATCTGTTATTTATATGTATTGATTGCCAGTAGGTAAACTGGGAGTAATATGCAGTAAGCAGATTCAGGAAATTTCATGCAAAGAATAAACATGAACAGGGAAGGAAAAGACTCAATGTCAGTGTAAAACAAAAAATAATGAAGAGCTTTATTCACACAAACAAAGAAGGTTCTTCTTGATCTTACTGAACTAGCTGGCTTCAAAGTTCGTTGCATGACTTCACTGACCTCTGGAAATGGAGAAGAATATGTCTTCATAAGATGGAAACCAGAGAAAAAATTTATGATATATTGCCTTGTTAAATTGGAATGTTTCTTATAAGATATCCCGAAGTCCTAAATTACCTACATCAGTGATCATGCTCATTATAAATATTTCAGAGAGATAAACCCCTAACTTGTACCAATTTTAAAAGTCTCTCAACCAACCCTCAAGGATCACAATGCACACCCTAGGTTAGCAATAGCATAAAAACAAGGTCAAGCAAGTATAAGCTTTACTGAACAGTTTGTTGAAATGTGTAACTCTCGTCTAAGACCGAGGGTTAGCTCAAGTTACGTCCTTTCACATCTTGTTTACAAGGATATCACTCTTTGCCAGGGTAGATGTTGAGATGCATATGTTGGATGAAGTTCATAAGGAGGATTTGCAGTGTTGTCAGATACAACAGCCAGTGTCTTTATCTTGATCCTGGAAGCTTCCAGGCTAATATGGCATACTTATGGTGGTGAGGTTGATGCAAAATGTTGTTGACTTTACTTAAGGATGACACATTTGTCAATATGTGTATGACTTGGGGTATTGTGAATGGGAGATGATGATGCTGAAGGAATATATCCACCAGCTTAAACTACTTCATTGAAAGGTGAATAAATACACATCTTACCGTGAAGATGATGACTACTTGAGCAGTTTAGAACCTTTCAGCAAGATGTGCTTCCAAAGCCACTAACAGTCTACTGATAGCCCAAATGATTATAATTTCATTTAAAAGCAAAAAATTATAGTCTGGCAATGGCTCTAGTTTGTTGAGTTCTATAGGCAGTTTTATTGAAAAAAAAAAGTTATTGAATCTGAGACATGGAACTGTAAACTTTTTATGTTTTCTGATCAGTTACTTCTTCTAGCAAGTAATGTTAGTAACTCATGAAGAATCAACCAGAATCTCCAAAAGAACACAAATTCATAAATAACTTTTATTTAGTATTTGTATTTTTAAAACTTGAAAACACTTTACCTTAGTTTAAGACTGGTAAGTTGTTGCACTTGTATATGTTTTAGGAATTCTTTTATGGAATGGCTCTGATTTAGTTTGTGTTTTACTTTTGTGTAGTTAACACTTTTATTGTAAACTGGGTTTTAAGTTCCATTTTACATAAGTAGTGGTTAGTTATTTGGTAGCATATAATACTTAATTACCAAATTTTCAACTATAATTGAAAAAATAACAAAAAGAGACAAAACTTACAAAGTAATTGTAGTTTAGTTCATGTTATGGTTAGTTATGAAAAATAATTTACTAAAGTAGGCTTAGTATTGTAAATAACTGGAAATATTCCTTCATAAAAAGGTGTAACAGGTGTGGTTTAGTTGTGGGTTTGACTATCACTTATAAATTAACTTTATTTATTACCAGGATCTTTTTGTATAATCATGGGTAAAGCTCACAAGCCACCAACTTAGGAAGTTTAGGTAAATAATAAGAACTATGGCTAAGAGATTGATAGAACATAGAACATGAATTTATTCAAAAATATATATATACATAACTGAGAAGTTCAATATTTCAACAACTCAAGTAATTCTTTAAAAATTCTTCTAATATACTCATCAATACTTCAACTACAGTTAGCAATTTATCAGTTAGTTCAATCCTTAATAACATACTCAAGTGATTATGTTACTAGACTAGACAGACATGTCAGTTCAACTTACCCAAAGTTTAATCAGTGAAAGTTTCAATCTCAGCCAAAACAGACATCTTGTTAGCAACGACTGCTGAACTGAATGTAAATGGTCTGCTGAATGGACTGCACTGGCTGACTGGCTCTTAACCATGGCCTTTATAGTTGCTGGACAGGATGTTCGTATTGTTCCAAGTAAAACTAAAACCATAACTACAGCACATGATTCTAATTTTGGCTCGGCTATTTTGCATGTAATACTATGACATCTTACTAGTTCTGCACACATTACTGAAGCTCCTGTTTTTATTTATTTTTTCTTAGAATTTGGTGCATCCTTCTTGGTATGATATCTGTAATTTAAGCTGTAGCCTGCATGTGTTCTTCAAGTATAAACATATATGCTCTTTAGAGCTTGAATTTCCTTTTCTAATTCCATTGCTTCGTCACCTCTGAACTTTTTCCTGAACTTGGTATACAATATCTCGTCCACTCTTGACAACCATGTCTTAAATTTCATAAACATCCTGCTGACTTAATAACATCTCTTTCCTGATGATAAGATAGGTTTTTGCTATCTAATATTACAGCCCTGGAATTATACTTCTAATGAAATATATGTCCTTGTTGTTTCTCCATTACTTTATTTGGTTATCCAGCACACTTTTTGATGTCAGTATTGAAAGTTTATCTTACCTTATTTGGTTATCCAGCACACTTTTTGATGTCAGTATTGAAAGTTTATCTTACCTTAATTGGTTAGCAACTACATAATTTACTTTTGATGGCATTCAGTTTGCTGTATAATTGCTAACTGATTTCTTTCCAGAAAATTGTAAAGCACTAAACACTTACTATCAAGCAATTGTTTCAAAGATGTAAACGTCAAGACATATAGCACAGAATTGTATGATAAGCAGTGAGGGATGTTCTATAAGGTATTTTTAAGTTGTAAAAGTAGATTCTGCAGTTTAGAGCAAGCCTTAAAAAGTAATTTTTTTATGTTCACTCTTAGTATTGTATTTAGACAATATTTCTGTCACCATAAGTAGTATTTTATCTGTTATATCTACTCAAAACTTTCAAAAACATCATCAGTGTCACCTCTCATAGAAATCTGTTAACTGCCTCAAGAGGGTCCCCCTGTGGGATAGCAGTGAAGTCTGTGACCTTACAATGCCAAAATCTAGGGTTCGATTCTCTGCGGTGGGCACAGCAGATAGCTCAGTGTGGCTTTGCTATGAAGCAAACAAACAAGACTCAAGAATATTAATTACTGAAAGTACTAGCAGAGACACGCAAAACATTTGCAGTCAAATTAGTATCTTTACTCCATTAGTACTTCTTTAAATACAGAATTTCTAGAATAATACAAAATAATTCTAATCCCAGACACCAAAGTATACAAGTCCATTGGTCTTAAGCCTAACATTAGTTAAACCTTTATGAAGTAGGGCCTAATATTTACCATACTTAATACTATCAAAAAATAAACTTATAATATTATTCTGCAACATAACATTAGACATTTTTAAAAACTTTGATAAATTTTTAATACGTTGTTGTGCACAGGTACAATCCTCACTTTCTTGATTGGCATTCTCGTGTATAGATGTGTATTTTATGCTCTTCATGTGACTGCACAATTTTTATTGTGTTTGATCATCAATTAATATCAGTTTCAAGTTCATGTTTTTACTTGTTTATTTGTGAGATGTTTCTGTTTCTCGAATTCGACTTTGTTCATATGAATTTGGGTTTCTGCTGGCAGTTGATAATTTTCCCTCCATAAGTAAACAGCGGTTATAACACTCGGCTTTAGTCTCAGGTTTCACGATGTCTGCTGAGAAAGCACTGATTTTTGTAAGGAGGGAATTCATTGAGCCAGTGATTTTTTTCTTTTCAAGATAGGGAGATATGTGGTAAGTTTTTCAGTGTATTTCTCACTCCCAATAGATATACTTATGTTCAAGGAGTTTATGTGAGCTCGTGTGTATGGATCTAATTTCCGCACTCAATAATTTATGTCATTCATGTCTTCTCTGGTCAGTATTGTGGAAGTTCGAATTTTAGGTTTCTTTAGTTTACAACTTGTGTTTAGAGTTTGTTTCTTGCATTAATGTCATTTAATATTTTAAATTTTTTCACTGTTAATGTTATTTAGTTACAAGTTCCTTTTTTTTGTACCTTTACTACTAGTCACATCTAATTGGGGATAAGTTTTGAGTCAACCTTTATTTTTGTTTATTGGGAACCATTTTATTCTAATGTCCTTTAGGGTAAGTTTTCTTTTTGTGTCCTTTGTCTTTTAGTTTCTTTGAATTGACTTCTGTGTTCTATGTTTAAGGGTCGTTTATCTTATCAGTCCCTTTAATGGTTTTGTACTTTAGGTGTTACTTATTATTTTATGTTTTAGGTCGATTTTCTTAGTTTTGCAGGTATGTTACTTTTAAACTCTTTTTAGACTACACATTATTAAGTTTTTGTTAGTTTATTAGTTCTGTGTACTTTCTTCAATTTCTTTAGTTTATGTGTTTTTTTGTCTACACTTC